TTATATCCACAAAAATTAGATTCTCTTAAGTCTACAATCATTTTCTACCTCTGTAAAAGTAAAAAATATCACAAACGTCTAAGATCTAATAGGTGATGGAAATTGACTTTGTCATCCAATGAATAAGTTAATTTTCCTTGATCAAAAAATAAACTTCATTGAATGATAATGATACAAATAAATACTTCCAATTGACAAAAAAAACTTATTTTTCTCCTTAAATTGAATACGTAGCTAAGCGAAACTTATTATTTTCACGCTCAAGGACGAATTTTTTAATTTTTTTAATGAAGCATGTTTTTTGAACCATTTTTGTCAGTATGGAAGATAAGATCTGTTTCCGAAAAAATGGCTTCATAATCACGATAAGCCTGAGTTTCACTTTTAACTTGACAATTTGCGTGAAAAATATTCGCATTCCGTGATTCCCACTTCATAAAGTATACCACAGCAAGAAGCTAAATTGATAAAAATCAGTCAGCCCCCGGAAATCGCAAGGGAAAGTAGCCACTGATCATTGGCGCTCGTAATCAGAAAACTGAGACACTCATAACCACGGCCATTATCAGTTCGCCCTTGACTAGGGTGACTCGTCTCTATTGATTATGTCTCCATACGCCCTTCGATCCTTTCTGAAGCAGGAAGTTGAACAATTTTCAACTCAACTTGCGAAGTTAAGGGATTGAATTTCTAATGATCCCGGTGTGTTCATTTTTTAAGTCACTTTCGATTAAGGGTAACTTTTCTTTTCACTCTAGCTGAGGGAAGTATCTACAGGAAGAGCACGGAGTTTTCGGTAATTTGGAGGTTAGGTCATTGAGCTTTTAGGGCCCAAAAAGGCAGCCAACCTATGAATTAAAATGATCCAGAGTAACTTAATATTACAGTTTTTACGACCCGTCGTTTGTAAATCAAGTATTTTACATAGCTTTTTCATAAATTTACTAATTGTTGCAGAGGAATGTCCATTTATGAGCATTCTTGGCCATTTCAGTATGATATTGGAATCTGAAGATTTGCAATGATATTTTTAGTGTTAGAGGGTTGGCTGGCTTTTTGAGCCCTGGTAGTTCCACATTTCGACATGTTCGTAAACCGTATCCTCCCATTGAGGTACTCAAACTGAAGGTCAAGCTCTCAGTTTTGGGGTAATTCAGCTCTTCCAATCAAAAAAACTGAGAGACATGGAGGACAAGGCGCATAAGTGTAGTTTTCGCTATTTTAAGAAATACGTGTTTGAAATTTTTAAATAACATGGATCTCTATGGCGGAAAGAAAGTTTAAATTGACTTTCAGATGCTTAAAAATTGGAATTTGTGAGCGAAATTTTCACAAAATATGCACTAAGGCTAGTTTTACTCGAAATCATTGAAATCACGAATTTTTGAAAACTGCACTTATGCGCCTTGTCCTCTAAGCCCCTCAACTATCTACACTGGAAAAAAAAACACATTGGATCTAGAGTCCAGACTCTTGAAAACATTGACAGGAAAAAATACTCTTGATTCCATCGGATTTTTGCTTAAATCAAAACAAAATTCGCTCAAATTAAGAGGCTTGGTTCTTGGTTTGAGCAAAAATCCGATTGAATCAAGAGTATTTTTTCTTGTCGATGTTTTTAAGAGTCTGGACTCTAGATCCAATGTGTTTTTTTTTTTTTTTTCAGTGAGCGAATTTTTCACAAAATATGCACTAAGACTAGTTTTACTCGAAATCATTGAAATCACGAATTTTTGAAAACTGCACTTATGCGCCTTGTCCTCTAAACCCCTCAACTACCCATGCTTAGTGTTTTTAAGTCGAAGTTTCATTCCGACGCCGATCCATTTCCATGCAAGTAATCGAAGTCTCAACCTCCAGCCGGCGACGCAACAATGTAGGGACACATTAGAACGACGCCGGCTCGTCGCTCAACTATCAAACCTATTGTCTCCACTTAAAGCTCGGCGTCTCCGGCGTCGCTTCGGGAAAAAGAGTGGACTCAATTAGAATGCCTCGTTACAATTGGAAAAGCCGCGGGGGAACCGGGCCGGGCACCGCGGTACCGCGGCGGCACTAAAAGGCCGGCAAAAGGGAGACCTACTCAGCATTTGGCGCATGTTTTTATTATGCGGTGCCGATTCCCGCTCAAAGGGGAGAGCGACGCAGATTGAAACGGCTCGCGCGAGCCGCCGCGCCGGCCTCCGCAAAGACACAACAAAGAAATACATACATATAAATACCTACACGTATGAGTACGGGGTCTCATACACCGGCTAAGAGAGACTATAACCTACCTGCGGATGGGTTACATCTTAATTCCCAGCTGTCCATTAAGGGAAACACGGGTTTGTGCTTAGGAAGTGGCGCCTTGCATAGTGCCCGCTCCGCGCGTACGAACTGGATACGTGGAGGAGCGGAGTGTCCCCGCTCGCAATATAACCTTAATCAAGGCCTTGTAAACTGGTCAAGTGGTCACCAGAGATATATGGACCGTGTTTAATGTTTATTACCCTCTTCGCTCCGCGCACCCTCTCGCGCCGGGGCATCTCCAACTGAAGCTCTCTCATCGATCGCCTTAATTTGCCATCGAGATCCCCCCCCCCCCCCCNGCGGCGGGGTTTATCATGCCCCCAGATTTTATTGACCGGAACTCCTCGATTAGTGCCCGAACGCAGCGGGACTGGTAACAATTAGGGTTTCGCTCCTCGTCAGTCTATCGGTTTATCTAACTAATGAAATGCGAGATCGCTCGCCTCTGGATCGGATTAGATCCTGTGAATGAATGGGCGCTGAGCCGTCGTTACCGTGCGTAAACTATGATACCGATATGACTCACGGTTGACGGGTAAGTGTGGTTGCCTATGCTGCAGGCGGCCTCCAGATGCAGAGTGACTTGGAGGGGGATCCCTCTGCGTAGAATGCCTGTATGGAGAGAGGGTGTGGACCAAGGTGGCAAAAATTCTTGAAAAATAAAATCCTGAAATCTCACGTGAAATATTTCATGAGATTTCAGAAATTTACGAAAGATATTGAACAATACCAGTTCCCTTTCATTCTTTGTAAAATGTAAAAATTGTGACTTTCTTTATTTTTGTGTCTTTGAGTGCGGGTCGCATACTCTAGCCCCTGAAAACTATGAAATACTTCACAGCCTCGTGGAATTTCATGAGATATTTTACTGAAATTTCCAATCTTTCATTTCTTTCTTGCGATACATACCACCCGGGTGTGGACACTGGGTCGCTGGGGGTTTCATCGAGACTTTTGGGATTTAACAAAAAAATTACGATAGCTCTAGGTGAGAGTGAGTGAGAGAAGATTATTGCCAGCATATTAATGTATGTTTATCGTCCTCTCCACCTGGTATCAAGTTTAGTATTAAGGGAGTTCAAGTTGAAAATGTTTTTTAAAGGAATTGAACGAATTGGTCTCAAAACCGAGCGAATAAGCCTAACTGTGATTTAGGTATACTCTACGGAAATAAAAGCGAGTAAAACCGTATGCAACGTCCGCAATTTTTATTCTTTTTTAATCATACACTGGAAAAAAAAACACATTGGATCTAGAGTCCAGAGTCTTAAAAACATCGGCAAGACAAATTACTCTTGATTCAATCAGAATCTAGCTTAAATCAAGAACCAAGCCTCTTAATTTAAACGGATTTCGTTTTGATTCAAGCAAAAATCCAATTGAATCAAGAGTAATTTTTTGTCAATGTTTTCAAGAGTCTGGACTCGAGATCCAATGTGTTTTTTTTCCAGTGTAAGATCTTCACGAAACTATTAGTGGCTGGGTTGAGCAGAAATGAATCATTCAGAGGCCACTCTCTCCTTATGAAGATACTCTGATACTGTGCTTACAATCACCCAACAAAGGAACATTGCCTCAACTTTGCTTTAAAATATACCACAAGTCCTGGCAGTATTGGCGTCAAGGAACATTTAAGAAATATTATTAACCAAAAAACAAAGTTGAAGCCTTTTCTTGGCCTGCATTTTCACTGCATGCGTTTAAATCACTTGCATGAATTTGTATTCGGTGAATATTGCTTCCAATGCTGTCAGACTATATTCTATCAGATCCTTTGAAAATGCAGCCTGGCAATATTGCAAGAAGATATTGTATCACTGTGTACTATGAATATCCTACCAATAGGTTAACAACATTATTTATTAATTTAATCGTTGCTTATTGAGTGATATATGTATTGTGTGAACTCCGGGTAAATAACAATTCGCGCTCTCCAGTATGTTTGTTACATATGCGGTGAAATTGAAGGCGAGATTTAAGCGGACGATATCTATAATACCCAAAGAATCACACATGGACAATTGATCATGCAAAGCATGCAGAGGTATATAATGTGACTATATTTTCGATTTCCTTGCTCCTCAGTAAATTTGATACTTGTCGCTACCCTTCATGTTTTCTCCTCTCTTTTACCTCTTCTTTTTTCTTCCTTCCACTTCAGTGCCCTTCTTATAATAGCGCTGGGCACATCCGCTCCTCATACGCCATCTTTAGTCTGGCTCTAGTTATATCTTTATGTATTTATGTTGAAAGTATAATTAGACACTCGAAGAAAATGTTTTAAAAAATTCAATGGACGTAGTAAAAATTTTGCAAGTCAGTAGTGAAAATTGAAAAATAGAGTTTCAATGAAAGAGATTTTACAGAGTTTTAGTGTATTTAAAAAAAGAAAGGGGATTTCATGGGCACATACATCTTGTTTCAAAGCCTTTTGCTCATAATTTTTTTTTCTATAGCTAAGAGTTTGACGTTGCGGAAAGTATCCGTAAAATAAAGAAAATTACTGTGCGATAATTTCATTGCGTTAATTGGTATAAATTATAGTTAAACTCGTTCCAGACGAGTATTCTCTTTTTGTATTAGCTATCAATACAAACTGATGACAGGACAGCTGAAAACGGCCTCGCCAATATTTCCACTCTCCACTGGTTATTTAGCATTAATGATGTAGACTAATTGAGAAACGGAGAAAAAAATAATAGAACGCATTTATTTACAAAACAGTGACTATCTTTATTTCATTATTAGATGCATCCTTGAGAGAAAATAGAAACGAAACCTGAAAAATATCTTATGCTAAAACTTAAGTAAGGACTCTCATCAGTATTCACAAAAGAAAAAAGAATAAATTCTTAAGTACCTACCTAAAGTTAGTTTTCATTCTGACTATGAGACACTCATCATGACTGTTATCAAGTCTTATTGCTATGATAATGCTATCAATATTGATTCTTGGATACTTACAATAGTTGAAACAAAAGAAAATAATACGTAAGTACAAAGGCACCAATAAGAGATTTGTACAGTACCACAAGGGCAGTTAAATTAAATTTAAAAAAAGTGTAATACTTCATTTGACTAAAACTCTTGCCTTTTAGTATATCATAAATTACAATCCAATAAAACTTCCTCCTCAGAAAATAAAACAAGCTCATACATAAAATAAAACATCAATCTGATTTAAAAGTATTAAGAACACAAAAAGTGCCAGTCCATGTAAATTCAAGTGATTGAGGACGGATATGAAACAAATAGTCTGCTCATTTTAATCCAGGTATATAAACTGAAAGTGTTTTAGTCAGTGATTTTTAAACATTGAAATATAATTCATGAATGAAATCAATACCATAAAAAAGGAAAAATATTAAGTACACTAGATTACTCGTCAAGAAATCAGGTAACCCTTACCAACCTTACTAGCTAGAAGGTTTTGATGGCTACATACTTCGGACTGAAAGTACGTATACGAGTGACAATTAAAATAATAATTACGGGAAAAAATGAAAAAAAAAAAACCTGTAGAGGCAAAGATAGGTAACAACTAAAACAATGGGTATTACCTAAAAATAGGACGAAATGAAAAGCTCCCTTCGAAAAGAGAAAATTAGAAGAAAGCGTTGGCTGGATATCAGTTGCCCCGATCATGACTTGCCGCAGTGGAGGTGATTACACTGGTCAAGAGATCAGGTCGGGATCCGATTGGCTCGAGAGGAGGAACACTGGAAGGAGAAAAAAGAATATTCTTATAACATTTATAAAATTGTAAGTTACATAGGAGAAAAGCAGTTGTCTTAGTAAAAGTATCTGGAGGTAAAACGGAGTAAAAGGAGGCAGTAGCAAAATCAGAAGACTTGAAGACGGTCCAAAAAATACGTAACGCACAGGAGATTTTATAGACGCGTTACATGGAGAAGGGTAAAAAAGCTGCGTTAAGTAACGCCAGACATTTCATCTTTTTGATTTCTTTCTCGGAAGAGATTTTTCTTCTTTACTGATATTTTTTTTAATATTCAATATTAATGTTTCTTTAATTTTCAGTTTTGCCTTATTATTGTTATTTTTTTTTTTATTAAATGATTCAAAAAAATTTTAGACCAGTTATTTTGCCTTTATTTTGTTTTTCGTAAATAACTTTAGTCATCATTTTTTGTAAATTAAAAAATGAACGAAACACTGAGGTTAGGGAAAGCGTTGCGTATTGATTTTTGGGGAGAAGAGGGAGTACAGACCTACGTATTTTTAGGGATAAGAAAGGGTGTCAAAAAATAGATTGTTTTGCGTTATGTATTTTACGCAAGGCCCCCTTAAAATTTGAAGCTGAAAGAGAATTGGTGGGGAAGGGGGGCGGGCGAGGGCGAGTGTAATACTTGTACTACCATTCCGAAGGCGTTTTATAAAAAAGCGTACCGTAAAGAAATGACGGAGATTAGAATTTGAAAAAAACAAACTTATGTGTGATCATGAAGAATTTAGGGATTAGCATTAGACTTTCTCCCCAAAACAATGATTGAGTCGTTATGCGTAGTAACGTTGTAAACGCTGTGAAATGCTGCTCAGATCGAGCAATTTTGTGCTGAATCTGCGACTAAAAGATGTGAAGGTCCTACTAGGATTTGTACTCCAAAAACCTAACGTATTTATACTCATTTCCCCTTAAAGATCATTTCCATGTGCATTTGTTCATTTTGCTTCAAAGTTGCACATATGTATCAGCACTAAAAATCTAATACGTCGTTCTTACAAAGAATTACCAAATTCTTTCCGAAACTGCGTTGTTACAGAGCTAAAATTGTAACAAGTCCAAGGAAACGTAAATATAATTCACGTGAATGTGTTGAAAACAAATTAACGGATCCTTGTTTTCGAAGGAAAGAGAGGAAGAGCTTTCCTAGCATTATTGTAGATTGTGTGGTGTAGCGTGCTGTTTGCAGGCGCAGCGAGCGGGGAACAAATGCGTTCTGAGTAGAAAGACGGAGGAGACACTCTCAAATTCGAAATTCGAAATTTGGACTGCTTTTCTTCAATTTAACTCCATTATACTTATCAATCGTCAATTAAGTAGCCTGTCTCATCTAGAGTCGATAGATATAGGTTATTTTACATGCTTCGAAAATGGACGAAATCCTAACTTTCAAATATGGCCATTTTGTACCAAAGAGACTCTTTGGGGCACTCAGGACGGAAAATACTCTGTTGGATTTACGCCTGAGTGCGGAAAATCTCTGCTATTAGACTTCTAGTAAGACGACTTGCTCTCGTAAAATAGACCTTGAAAATCATTTCAAGTTCTTTTTAATTTTATTGTTTTCAAAACGTTGTGGTTTCCTTCGTCGTCTTGAGTTTGACAGCGATCAAGGATATATTTTTGGACATTTTCAGCGAATGAATAATTTCTAAACTTAAATATACGTCAATATTTTACCGAATAAAATTACATCAATGCATCAGCACTTCAGCAGGCACTGCAGAAAGATGGAGTCTGTTTTTTTAGTAAAAAAAAGAATATGGTGCGACATTTTACACAAAGACGCTTGCTGTCGAGCTACAGCTCTGTAAAATGTATAAAAAAGGGTAATCGAAATTTTTTTTCTATTTCTTTATCTTTGTGGTAAAACACGCATAATTTTTTTTTTACAAAAATACATGTTTTTATCCGGGGGAATTTGGCAACTCTCGAATGTTCATACGGCGTTTTCCTCAGCGAGGCAGTATATTACAGATGCGTTCCTTTTCCGTAAATCTTAATATGATTATCGACTCCTATCAACTTACTACAGGGTGACGATACTGTTCACCTCCTCAAACTTAAGTGATTTTGGAAAACACGTTGCGTAAAGAAGGATCCTAATTTATCAAGAAAAAATTGACTGTTAAAGTAGGGTTATACGTTCTGAATCATTCTGTTGGGAAAGAGCTTCATCAAAGAAAATGTCATAACTTACTTGGCTATCTGGCGATTACTCAGCATGTTTGGAGGGAGTAGCAAGGGAGCTTGCGGCAGGTAGTGTTCGTTCCCAGCATCAATGTAGTGTTGCTTACAGTCTGGACTGTACATTCCTAGTTTTTCTGCAACACATTCGAAAAAATAGTGTGAGCATCACATGTTCACTGTGGCAGAAACTTCAGTGCATACATAAACCTCCACAGACATAGCATGTCGAGGTAACGACCGATCGAAAAAAACTGAGCAGAACGAGGTTGCAAACTGCAAGTTACTAGCATTAGCGGATCCAGCAAATTGGCAACATTGTTTTTCCTCTATTTAAACCTATGGAAATGTATCGATTCTTGAAGGAGCCAGATGCTTCGTCAAAAATAGATTATTTACTTAGGTTTGAATGGAGGAAAGCCTATGTTGCCAAATTGCTGGATCTACTCGTAGTTACGAGCAGGGTAAATCAGAAAATAAATTTGATAAAGTCGAAATAAGAAACTTAAAACTCACAAACAATTCAATTGGAGATACCAATTAAGCGTTTCGGCGTGCTCAACCCCTTTCTGAGAGCGATTCCGATCTCGCCCGAGAAAAGGAACAAGCACCCCGAAACGCGAATAAATCGAGAATTTAATCAGATTTTTGTGATTTTTGATTTTATTAATTCGACGTTACCCAATTTAAGTTGTGTTCGACCTCCCTGTGACTCAATGTATTGCAAATTCGAACGACTGAGTTCCATTGGCTACATGATTCGCAATAACTGGATATCATAAAAGGAGGAAATACAAATCAAACCTCTAGCGAAAAAAAAAAATCACCGCGCCGCGCCGCACCGCTGCCTGCGGTTGAAGTGGCAAGTGTCTGGTCATTCAAAACGCCTTCACCTCAGAGCATATGCAACACGGACCACCATGGAGCCCGAATAGTTGCATCCGGAAGTTAAATTGAACTTGTATAGGCTCGTCGCATTTGACACTAACGAACAACTGGCTTGTTTCTCTTACAATGGAACTTAATTCCAGCACTGCCTATTGTGCCGAAGAGGTAAACTAATACTGTTATTTCCTGCAATTGTCAATTTTCTAAATAATGCTTTGCTTTTTTAAATATGTAACAATGTTGCCGTCCTAAAACGTTAGCCGCAGCTCCTTCCTTCTCTAATCTGAGAATGCTGAATCCGTGGCCACTTTCCGCTGCATTACATTTTAAGGTGACTTACTTACAGTATGTGTTCAAAAAAAAAATTATAAATAAATACAAGGCGATAAAACAGGGACCGCGCACTAACGTAGGGCATAAGTTGGAATTCTACGAACTCACCATGGATTCCTAGTTTGTGATCGTGTTTGCCAGGACCTCCTGGAGACATGCTGCCGCCATGATTTTTCGGTTTCCTCTTCCTTGTTTGGATACCGTCCTTTTTCATGGTCAGTGGTCTATTTATCTGCAATTTGGAGGAAAAAAATGAAAATTAAGCAACACTCAATGACCAGAAAAAATTTTTTGAATGTGAATATGCAGAAAAATTTCAAAGAAAAACATCAAATAATTTTGAGATGTCCGGAAACATAGCGTTTAAGTGTCAAAGGCGTTTGTGATATTCTACCTGATGAGCGAGAGGGGACATAAAAAATTCGGGGAAATTCCTGATAAGTAAGTGCACTGTAAACTCTCTAAAAAAGCAATTCGACGGTGAAAGTCGGCAATCACATAACTCGTTTGCGGTGTCTGAAAATCTCCGCCTCTCCGTCATTTTTTTAAAGGAGAGCAAATTGACATTATTTCTTGAAGTTTTTGCAGAATTATCTTCGCATTGAGAGGAAAAATCATGACAGTTTTAAAGAATTGCCGTTGAGTAGTTTTCCATCTAAAAAATAAAGTATGACAAGAAGTCTGCGACGTCGCAAACCGAGTTATGTGATTGCCGACTTGCACCGTCGAATTCTTAAACATAGAGGCCTCGGTACGCAGGATTGACAATGGGACCTTTGGGTATCAATGGTATTGGTGGCATTCGAGGCCACCCCTTAATGGCACACTCCCTTATTTTCTTGGCTAGAAAAATCAACCCCCCCCCCCNCCCCCCCCCCCGACAAATATTTGAAACGCTGGGTGCAGAAAGGGAAGTGTTTTCCAGTGTCTCAAAATTCCCGCTAACGTTTCATCCATTTTCATTAAAGTAACTGTGGATAATTTGCTGTAACTTTTACTGAATATTCTTTAAGATTTTACAGAGCTGAAAACGTAAAATTTCAGAATATTTGCTCGATAGTTTCCTTACTAAAATAGAAATTAGCACTGGAGATTCTAAAACAGCGCAACTAAGAAATGCCCTTTTTGCACCAAACGCTTCATTTGTGTTTCTCTGCCCATTGACGTCACTGTGTGACACATGAAACTCATGTGAATATAGCCTCGGCTTCCAGTTTCGGATCTCATAGGCTTGACGGGGTAGCGGTCTCAGTGGCGTGGCGTGAATTGCGATGTATCGATTGTTATGCCATATAAACCTATGGAAAAGGATCGATAAACAGGGTGTTTGCAGCGAACACCTTAATAATCGATTCTTTACCATAGGTTTAAATGGCATTACAATCGATATATCGCAATTCACGCCACGCCACTGGTAGCTGTAGCTATCGCTCCTCGCCCTTATCGTCGCCCTTATGACGTATGAATGGCTCTTGATTTCCGCATGAGCCAAAGGAAGAAAGGATTCATAAGTGGATCACATTTAGCAATAAGGAACCACCGCAATCACAGTGTTTTCAAAATTGTGCAACTTTTTCTTTCCTTTAAGGGATACTCAAAATATGCACAATATTGAAATTTACACGATTATTTTCCTCAAAAATTAACAATTTCTTGGTGGGGAGCAAAACTATAGGCAATTCTCGGAGATTTTTTAGATAATTACGAAGCAGCAACATTTTTACGACTCTGTAATCACTCTGGTTCCTTTATTTTATTAAATGCAGTCCAAGTTGAAACGGGGTCCACGTGGAAATCGAGGTACGCTCTCACGTCAGAGGAGTGACGCATTGCGTAACTTACGAGTACCTAGAGCACGAATGTGTCTGTTTTTAATTCAATTTATCGGCCAAATGTATTGAGACCCAGTGTTGGGTGAAAAACCACCACCAACTGCGTATCCTCATGGGTATGGGGTTTTTTTCTGCCCGTCAACGCAATCACGCACTTATTCATCAACGCCATGAAACGACGGCCGCGTGACATGACATTCTTTGACAGTCATAGAACATCAATTTTTTTAAAATCTGTTAATAAGCTATTTCACCTCAGGACTTGGTGTTGAGTGGAATAACCACCTATGACAAAATTTTTAAACCAATAATACTTTTTTAGTGAAAACTGAAATATTTTCCAAAACTGCACGGTGAGTTTAAAAAATGTCAATTGCATACGAAAACATATTTTCGCAAGTTTTCATCTGTGCGAACTCAGCGACGCATCTAATGATTTATACCTTATGCGATTTTCTCAATACCATTTTTCCAGCAGTAGGTGATTATTCCAGCATTGCCCTGAATGCTGTACAAGCTCATTTCAAATTTTCGTAGGATATAGTCAGATACTTATTGACGGTCAAATTTTATTTTTTCCCCTACCTCTAGATCACGGATAAATGTCTGCTTTGGTAGAAGAATTTAAAATACTACGACAATATCGATATTAAATCATTGCTATCTCCCGTATCATTGTTAACGATGTAGCAGACTTCCGATCATTTTTTGCGTTTTCTTTCGAAAACTACAAGGAAGGTAATTTCTTGATAACTCCTTGACTTTCCTATTTGGTTACCAAAATATCCTATACTTTCAAGTTATATAGTTGCCTTCACTCTCTTCCATAAAATGAAAAAAGTAGAGGAAATTTTGAAACACCGCGATGGATGTACGTGGTTTCGCACTTTAGCAATCGATTTTTATCGAACTTTAAAAGCTGCTATGAAGTAAACATTGTGTAATACACCATGAGTTTCCATACTCGACAAAATTCTCCTGGCTATTTTCTCTAAATTTCAGGTTTGTTAATGTAAACACTGAGCAAGGATGCAAATTTTTCCTGCGTTTCCGAAATTTATCAAGAATAAGCGACTTCCTTAATTGAGTTTGCAAAATTAGGTTAGTGTAAGAAGCTCGAGGTAGAGAATATTGCGTCCCCTATGAAGACACGTTTTGTGAGCGGTGACCTAAAGTTCATAACAATTTTGAGACGCGAACGAAATTAGAGATTTTTTATTTTGTTGTCCTTATAAAATATGCATTTCTCAACACAACTCAATGCATTTTTTCTCCTCTTCCTTTTTTCGGATACAATAAAGAAATGACATCGGATTATTATTGACAGAGGCTACCACGGTTAGCATGATTGCACTCAGTAATATTCCGCTAAAATGGCAACTCGGGAAGAAGAAAATGAAAAAATAAAAACAAAATAAAAGAAAAACTGAACAAATTTTAGTACGTTAATGGAAAATTTTGAATTTCTTTTTCAGCACTCTTCAAGTTGAAGCAAGTTCAGTCCGAGGACGAATTGAAATCTTTCGGCACGTGCAGAGATAACGTCATTCTGAATAATTTTTACGCTCCCACGTATGGCTTCTGTTGTAGCGCACGAAAAAACTTACTATTAGCTGCCTCCAATACCAGGCGTCACTGTGGTCTCAACAAGTGGGCTGTTTTTGCTGTTTCTGTCTAAGTTTTTTTTTTTTGCGCCTTCTTTTTTTTCATTTTTTTCTGGTGACTGCAACACTGTGACAGCATGCTCGGGAAGAATTTTCCTGTGACTACGGATATTAAAAAAAATCAAAGGGGCAGATAATTCTGTGTCTCTCTCCTAATTTAATTGAACTTGCCTATTTGCGACCGAAAGATTTCCTCTGAAAACTAAAAAAAAAGGAAGAAAATTGAGCGTGTTTCTCCTAAAAATTTGACTTTATGCCCGCTAATACACGGTTTGAACGCAAATTTAAAAAAAAATCCAACAGGGTCTTCAATATTTTCCCGTTCTCACAAATTTTCACCGTTCGGCCAAAATATCACAAGCGCCATGCGACGTTTAAAAATTTCCACCACCATTTTATTTTTTTACAGAGAAATTGTTCAATGCAGCTGTCCGAAAATTTCACTGAATTTTCTTCGTGCCGCCGATAAAATGCAGTGAAATTTTCAAGCAGATTCAATCAACAATTTCTCTGTAAAAAAATAAAATGGCGGCGGAACTTTTGAAACGTCGCATGGCGCTTGTGATACTTTATGAAAAGTATGGAGGGGGGGTTCAAAAGGGGTGAAATCACCCCTGTGAAAGGCAATGAAAAACTTACGTTATGCAGCTTGAAGTAAAGACCGCATGCATTGCAAACAGGTTCTCCATTGTTGTTCCTTCGCCATAGAGTGGTTGTAGTCGTGCTACAGTTAGCGCATGAAACTCCAGACCGTCTGTTACCCGTTTGCTGAAACATAAAATTATGTTTAGTTAAAGTTGTTGATACCGTTTTGAAAAAGCAGGGGCAAAGGGTGGAAAAGGCAAGCAGACCCGGGAAAGAAACACTGAAAAAAATTCTATTGGCTCCAGGGCTCATACTCTTAAAAATTTTAGGCGGCAAAAATTTCTTGATTTCATCGGATTTTTACTTGAATCAAAAGGCTTAAATTAAGGAGCTTGGCTCTCGATTCAGGCAAAAATTCGATTGAATCAAGAATATTTTTTCTTGTCAAAGTTTTTAAAAACTCTTGATAGATTCAAGAGTTTCTTTCCTCCAGTGAATAGAAGAGAACCAATCGTAATCTTGATAAGAGATATATCTTCATTTCGGTGTCCCTAAGTCCTAAATACATCCTTTTTAACTGAAAAGCTCTGTTTTCGCCTCTACCTTCACATCCCTGCACCCACTCTGTCTGCACCTCCAAAATGGAGGCTCAAAATGAGTGAGTGGTTTCATAAAATGTTCGCGATGTAAATAGCCAGCACCCGATACATAGCTACATTTTGAGCTTGAAATCATGGGTCAATTTTGATTTCAAAATGCATCTATAGTGCCAGTATTTGCACTTATGGGTAAAACAATGGTAAAAATGCCACGAAACCAACAGAATCTTCCAAATGTAATGGTCCTAAATCTTTTATACGAACTGATCAGGGTCGAATTGATCAGCAATATACCTGTTTGACAAATTCTAATTTAAAACATTTGTCCCGGTTTTAACATCAAAGAAAATTCGCCTAAACAAGAGGAAACAAGTTGATTTATAGCGAGTAGTGTCCATTTCACTGGAGATTAAGTCGCAAGTTGCCTGATATTGAAAAATACGTAAATTGCTTGACTAAAGTTCATTGCAAATATATCGATTTCGCCAGAAAGCCTGGCAATGGTGTAAATCAACTTAACGCAGCTTCAGTTGGCTAGAGTAGCAATGTTGCAGAGTTCCGATAAGCAAGTGATGAATGACATTCGGTCTGCGACAGGTTAAAAGCACATACTTGCGTTGAATAGTATCTTATTTTAGCGGTTTGGTCTCTTCAAGTCGCATCGTCGTCGTCCTTGGCAAGGCTAAGAATTTGAGTTCATTTCGAGAGGGGATGTAGATTTCGATTACATATGATCACACACAATACTCCTCCAGGCTGAGGAAGAATGCCATGTGAACGTGCAAATTTTATCAGATTTATGCTGAATTTTTATGACATAGTTCATAAAAAAAAGAAAAAATGTCTCCGATATGTACTTGAAAATTTATGGAAGACTTTCTCAAAATATTTCGCAGAATTACATTGACACTTCGTCAAAAAACTGAAAGTATTGTATTTATAACTTGCCTCAAGAACAAATATTTTAATGGTTGGGCCCAATCGGGGAGGTGGGGGAGGGGTCACGCCTCACCTCTCCTCCTCCTTCTCCCCTCCTCACAAATCTTTGAGAAGGGGGCGGGAGGGCAGTAGTAAGGTCGCCCCTAACTTACAGAAAATGGGCGCAAAGACCTCACAAGAGGTGAAAAACTATTTCCCTGCCGCTTGGGACTGGGACTTAGGTCTTTTCTACCTCCTTTACCCTTCGAAATGGCTGAATCCACATCTGTCTTGAAGTTACCTAAGTACTTTAAGCTGAACTTTTGGTGATCATTCTCCTGTCAGAAAATTGGACCAATACAAACAGCAGCTCAACTTCCTTCGGGAGTCGTTTGCTCCCCCCCCCCCCCCCNNNATTGGAAAAAAGTTCACACCCCACTTTTTTGATCGTAGCTACGGCTTATTTTGAAGCCTAATTTTTCATCAATGTCAAATCTGGACCTGAGTAAAAACTGGTAAAGTATAGTTTATACAGCTCTGACCTAACAAAAATATACCGATTTTAACATTTTACACGGGTCCATACGATCTCGTAAAGGTCGATGACTCACATCTCAGGAAACAATATCCTCGAATAAAGGAGACTCACGATCAACATCGGTTTTATCGAGATTGCCGCGTCGCACAGTGAATCGAGTCAGTAGGAGAGGTCGGACAAAATTTAAACGCTGATAACTCCGTTTATACGAAACTTCGAGGTTCTGAAAGTGGTTCCATTAGTTTCCTCGTAAAAGTTTCTGCCATAAACCCTCCCCCCCTCAAATTTAAAAAGTGACAAAATAAATATAAAAATTTACAGTTGTAGTGAAAAATTTCATGTCCGACGTCTCCAATTGACTCGATGCACTGTGCGCCGCCGGCGGCCGCACGGTTACATGCATTGATAACGAGATAAAATATCATCATCGTGTGCATCAACTGGCTCTCCGAGCTTCAATGCAAAAATAGCAATCCCGAGTGTCGAATTCTTTTATTTTCGGATGAGTGAAACAAATTAAAAATATTATACATTTGATAAATAAATAAATTATTTAAAAAAAAACCAAAAAAAACTGGTGGTTGGTTTCAAGTGTAAAAATCAAGCATGGACGTGTACTTGTGACGTGGTAATAATACGCGTCTTTTCAACTTGCACTTGTACACATTCAATCGAAATCAGTCTGGGCATATTAGACGTTGCCTCATTTCTTTTCATGCTCTATTTTTTGACTGAAATTTGATCATCAACCTGACTTGAAATTTTATGAGTAAATTGGAGAGGGGAAAGGCGGTTCGATTGATTCCAATTAAATCTGTTTTATTACGTTGCGTATTNGCGAATCTTGTGTAGATAAGTGTAGAGCTGATGCGCAGGCTACCCAGCTACTGCGCAACCTCCTCGACCATTGCGCATCCTCCCGCGCATAGCGGTAGCAGTACCGGAGCATTCTGTAAACTCACTCACTTTTATAACGTGATTTTAAAAAAACCTGGGTCCTTTTTCCAAAATCTGATTGCAGCGGGCTCATCTAGGGCCTATTACCTGTCGATTTACGCAAAAATCATGGAAATCGGCCCGGTAGAACGCTCAAACGAACTATGACAAAAAGTATAAATTTACATTGTTTAAATGGGAGAATTCGCAACTTTACCAAGTAATATAAAAAAACCTGGGCCATATTTTGAAAATCTGAAAAGAGTTGGCTTATCTAGAGGCAATTGCCCGTCGATAGCCGCAAAAATCATGAAAATTGGCCCGGTAGAACGCTGGAACTAAGCGTCACCAGTTTCGCAAAATTAGGAGGTCTTGGAGCTTATAGTATAGACAGCTCTGACCTAACCAAAATATACCGATTTTAACATTTTACACGGGTCCATATGATCTCGTAAAGGTCGATGACTCACAGCTCAGGAAACAATATCCTCGAATAAAGGAGACTCACGATCAACATCGGTTTTATCGAGATTGCCTTGTCGCACAGTGGATCGAGCCAGTAGGAGAGGTCGGACAAAATTTAAACGCTGATAACTCCGTTTATACGAAACTTCGAGGTTCTGAAAGTGGTTCCATTAGTTTCCTCGTAAAATTTTCTGGCATAAACCCCCCTCAAATTTAAAAAGTGACAAAATAAATATCAAAATTTACAGTTGTAGTGAAAAATGTCATGTCCGACGTCTCCTATTGACTCGATCCACTGTGCGCCGCCGGCCGTCGCACGGTTACATGCATTGATAACGAGATAAAATATCATCATCGTGTGCATCAACTGGCTCTCCGAGCTTCAATGCAAAAATAGCAATCCCGAGTGTCGAATTCTTTTATTTTCAGATGCGTAAAACAAATTAAAAAATACATTTAATAAATAAATTAAAAAAAACAAAAACAAAACTGGTGGTTGGTAATAAGTGTAAAAATCAAGCATGGACGTGTACTTGTGACGTGGTAATAATACGCGTCTTTTCAACTTGCACTTGTACACATTCAATCGAAATCAGTCTAGGCATATTAGACGTTGCCTCATTTCTTTTCATGCTCTATTTTTGACTGAAATTTGATCATCAACCTGACTTGAAACTTTATGAGTAAATCGGAGAGGGGAAAAGCGGTTCGATTGATTCCAATTAAATCTGTTTTATTACGTTGCGTATTGATAATTGTGAACATTTTTATCAGTTGATATGATTTCTCTAAACCTAGGAGCTCCCTTCCTTCTCTCCTCAAAACTGAAAGTATTACTCCTGTATTGATAGCTGACGTCTAATAGTCCTGTTCGCCATTCATAAAAAAAATCCTAAGATAATTAATAATATTAATGTATAAATTATTAAAAATATATTTATCATGTTAAACAATTTAAAACAAAATAAAAATGGGAGGATGAGTATTACTTCCACATCAAAAATTAGAAAAACAATTGAAACAAAGTAAAAATGCATAGAAAATGGATGACGTTTCTCATTTTAAAAAAGATCCCAAGTAGCGGTGATCGCGATAAGTTGCGATTTGATCGGAGAATTTATGGCGACTTTATCGATGTCGATTTATCGCAATATTATCGGATAGAAAATTGCGATAAATTGCGATTTCATAGCATAACTTTGCAATAAAATCGCAATTATATCGACAGAGATTTATCGAAATATCGAGGAATACCTAAGAAAATGTGAACCGAATCGCCATTGATGTTGCAAAATCAAAAAATTCACACACACGTAAATTAACTAACAATGAGTTCTCTGAAAATGGAAAAATGTAATTCATAACAATGACTTACTGAAGAGGAACTTTTTTTCTTGGATTTTTTGGCGGGTTTGAGGTCAATGACCAGACCCTCGGATGACCCCGCCGAGGACGATGAGGTCCGAGGTTTCTCGTCAGAAGCTGTACTGCTCACTTGGGGATTATTCTCGGGGGCCTCAGACTGCCAAGGGGCCGTTGTGGAATGCACCGGTTGCACAGGCGGGAGGTACGAATTCTGCCTCCCTTCGCGAAAGCACATTTGACACGGTGGGTGATTCGGGTAACTATCAACGAACGCCATATCACGCGGAGGAAGCGCGTTGTAACCATACTCGTACGACGACGAATAGTACTGATACTGTTGCACCGGCCCGGGAGTCATAGCCTGATTACAGTCGCCCATCTCCTGCGGTTCTGATTTGATCCAGTGCACGTTGAAGTTGTAGGAAGACTCAGGGTCCGACGCGAAGGGAGACGATACCGCGGTCGAGCTATCAAAGTGATACATCGCGGAAACACGCTATCTGACGATACTGGCACTGATTGGACGGATTTCAACCGATAATGACTCTCAACGATTACTGAGTAACTATCACAGATGATTCTCGATTAGATTTATGAGATCAATTACAACGGGATAAATTTCGATTAGATAATTAATCACAAATTAATACAATAGCCGCGAACCGGAAATTAATAGTTTTTCCGCGTGTAAAGTTAAAAGCCTCCAACGCGATTTGGATGTGCGGGCCGTGCCACCAAGAATTGAGCAGGTCAAGGGGCAACTGATTCGAACACGTGGTGTTTTGAATCTGCTGAGAGGATCGACCCCTCCTTTCCCCTCTCCGCGCGCCGCGGTCAAGGACATGGGTGCACTTGCTACCAGACAGCGCGACGTCAATGCTAGTTCACACACACATAGACACATACCCATGCGAGGTTTTAATCTGATAAAGATCGAACTGGATGGCTCATGGTTCATGCTCATGTTCCTGTCCTCCTAGGCTCTCATTGTCAGCCTTGAGTCCTTGATCCACTCTCTTCCTTCTCTTATTTGTTTTATCGAAGCACTTCTTAATGTGCATGTGCAATTTTCAGGATGCATAAAATTAATTTCTCATCATGAAAAATAACTGGTAAAATACCTATAAGTTTGGCATCAGCAGTAACGTCAAGTCTTCTGTTTTTAAAAACTGCGAATTTCAATGCACTGAAAAAAATGTGCTTGGCACAAGCATGATGACGGTTCTTAAATTTGCCGCTAAGAATTTTTTCTTATCATGATTTAAGCTGAATTTTTCTTAATACATGCAAAATAATGCTTGGATTAAGCAAAAAAGCAGTTTATATTAAGCAGAAAAATTCTTGATTTAAGAAAAAATGCTTCTTAGAGGCAAATTTAAGGATTCTTTTTTTTTTTATCAGTGCGGGATAAATCGCTGAAGTAGCGGGGGAGGGGAAGGGGGAGGCTGACCACGAGGCTTGTTCCAAAAGAACAAACTCAAGAAGACATTTAACGGAAATTTTCATGACATTTTCTTTTCCTTAGATAGGTCTATTCAAGAAAAAGTCAATATCTATCCTTTTACTATTGATATTTTCCGCATTGAAAGTAAAACTGATAAGGTAAACTGCATAAATAGATTTTTATCACGATAAATAATGGAGATTTCGGTCAAAAAAAAAAAAAAAATTGCAAGAAAAATTGAGAGAGAGCAAGATGTCTAGGAATGTCAAGAAATACGTTTGAAAGTTTACCTGCGCAATTTTTTTCTGACTTGTTCTGATTGGAGGTCGATTCACACCATTTATTCTATTGTACAGACCGCATGCATTACACAGATGATGTCCCGTGCCATCTCTTCGCCACAGAGGAGTGGTGCTCGCTGCGCAGTTTACACATTCCTTGATGTTATCCATTCCAAACATTCCATCTGAAACAAATATTTAGACCATAGAAACGGTAGTCCGGAGATAAGGGAGGGGCGCGTAGGGCAGCATCAATAAAACGACACATCACCAGCGAATCGCGGAACGCCCTCCTCCCCCCAATGTCCCTGTTGAAATACTAAAGTCTACAAATAGGTACTCAAAAATTGCCCTGTCAAATTAGCTGCCTCGGAAATTTTGTGGATTTTGTGGTTGTTTTTGGAATCCCGATTTTCATAAGTATTCCCGCTATTAAGTCTCCTGATTTGTCGCTACGTGCTAGCAAATCTTCAATTTTTTAGCACTAAGTTTTACCAAAAAATCCCTCCATACATCATGAATGGGCCTTAATTGTAGGTTGTACCATATCTATGTATTCTATAGAAAGAGGTTGATTTTTGTTCAAAATATTTTGGCATACCTTTTGCATTTGTATTATTATTTATTTATTCATTTTCTAAATTGGCTTTTGCAAATTGAGTCTCAGTTAAGTTTAACTCGCTTACCCAGCACATTTATTTTTAACTCTACCCAAAGGCCTTACATGTACCTGTACAATGAAAAGTTTCAGCACAATGATTTTTAGCTCAATCATTTGATTTTTTCCTTGCCCTAAATATTCTAGTAATTTTTTGATAGAAGGATAGGAGATTAAATTTTAGAAATTGGCCACCCATGTCGGGCGGGTATGCTTTGACGGGGCATGGCGGGTTTTAAAAAGCCATAGCCTGGAGAAAAACGAAACGGGCATTCTTAGACATATTTGTAATTTATTCAACGAGCAGAACGCAGTTTTTCTGCAGCTGCTGGCAGTGCTGGCGCCTGCGGTAAGCTTTCGCTGACTGATAAAACCAGACGTATTATAATTATTTTACAAGTTCTGAGCAATTTCAATTTCGAATGAGTATCGGTATCGGTATCCGCTTGCCATTATGCTGAGGGTTGCAGACCGGGCTCTGGCGCCAGGAAGTATGCATCGGTTAGCCGACTGTGTTCAGAAAGTAAAAACAACGCATGCATGAATAGGGGGGGGGGGATATTTGGAGGGTCCCTACCGTTTTGCGTTTGCCGAAACGATGTGATTGCCGATGTCGTATGTGTTGGTCTGGCGATTTCGTGCATTGATCTGACGTGATAGCAAAAATAGTTTCTTACGTATGATTTTCTTTATCTTTTTTTTTGCAGATCTTCTATTTGCTGCTGTACGGTGATCTGCTAGGATGTTTGACAGATCCTTAGACTAACATGAAAATGTCATTGGACATAAGTTAGTGAACACCGGTCTGCTCCTGTTCTTTCTAAATTTTGTAGTTTTCGCGAAAAAAGAACGTATCTCCATTTCAAGGATACAGGATTGACTCGAACTAGCTAATTCTCTATAATAATACGACCGTGAAATTTCTGTCTTTAATTTTGCTGGATGGTGTGTATAATTAGAAAAAAAAACTTATGAACATTTTTAGTTGGAAACACGCAATGGCAGTGGTAAAAATTCAATTTGCGATTGGGAATTTTGCTACGTTAAAATTTAGTTTCCCTCTTTCGTCTGAGGAAGGGTAATTCATTCCTCATTCTCTAAAAGCTACATACTTTCCGGAAAAATATCCTAATGTATATTAAAAACCTGAGACTAAAATTGTAAGCGCTGTTTGGACCACACTAGGCTACCTCATAGTTCTGAGCTATTTCCCAGTGCCACTACTCAGCATGAACATTTGTGCGATGCGAATCCCTTTTTTTTAATTACAGCCCAATAAATTGTAACAACTGAAAATTTACCTCCAGTGTAGTATCAATTAGACCTCTTTTTACAGCAAAGGGCTATTATTTCTGGCTAAATAATATAGTCACCGAGCAAAATAGACTTTACCTTTGAAGAAAACTCTAATTGATCCCGCGCCCTATTGCAAAAGCCGCGGGCAGATCTTAGATTTTGCCTGCAAAGTCGAGCGTATGCAACCCGGCTCACCACGGAGTTAAAATAGTTGCATGTTGGGTTCGAACCCAACTTCGGATATTTTTCCACTGTTTTACACTTCGCTCATTAATCAAATGCAGAGTAAATCTTTCAGACGGCATCTAGGTTGGTTTTTGTCTCGTTATTTTGTTTGCAATGCTTTTTCGAGGAGCTTAGCTTCGTCTCAATATTGCCGCTATGAACCAGAGGGTTGTAGCAATCCATAAAAAGTTTTTATACCTAGAAAATTATTGATATTTTTTTCTTACTCTTTACTTTTTAGATGAGCGATTGGAGGAATAATGTGAAATCGATCCGTATGAAAGCTAGGTCTAGGTATAGATACGTAGAAACTCTTTATTCCTTCTGATCTAGGACAAAATTATAGAAAAGTTTCAAGGCGGTATGTGGTTTATTTTCCCCCTAAAAAAATAAAATAAAGAAAAATGAAATGAAAGAAGCGTGAAATGCATTTAGGCTGATTCGGTACTGGAAAAAAAGAGACTTGATTTAAGCAGAGATATTCTTGAATTTGCCGTAAAGAGGAAACTTTTCTTGGATTAAGAAAAAACCATATTTATACCAGGGGAAAAGTAAATTCCATCAAGCAAAAACTTACCCTTGGACACCTAAAAGCCGGACCAAGTTCATCAGATAGTAACCAACCCACATTTTCGAAAAAATTGAGTTAAGAATGTTTTTGAGTTCCTCTAGTTGTATATTTTCTGCTGCCAAACATTTAAAGTCGAAAAAAAGTTTAGTCTTTGGAAAGAGCGGTTAAAATATACATTTTACATTGAGTTTTATGGAGGAGTGAAACGTCAAATCTCCTTTTCTCAGTTTCAACTTGATGTGGGTTGGTTCCTCTCTGATAAACTCGGTCCAATTAGGTACATACATTCGTTCAGCATAGATTTCTACTCACTCGGGTCATATTCGCCGATCCAGTTGGACGAGGAATTGTGTCCGAAGACGGCGTAGGGGGTCCCGTTGGCGGAGATGTGGATGCTGTTCCCGTTGTTGGGGACCATGGCCTCGATGGACATGACGGGGAGGTTCCCGGCGATGGAGACCGGGAACCCGGAGGAGGACTGCGCCCCTCCCGCGGTGACGTAATCGATGACGCCCGGCGACTCGGCGGATTCATGTCCGTTCACGCTGTTGGCGCCGCTGTTGTTGTGGTGGTTGTTGTTGCTCCCGCTGCTCGTGTTGTTCGAGCTGTTGTTGTTCCAGTACGAGTCATGGTTCATGTTTTCGTTGCTGTTCCCCGAGGATTTCGTGATGAAGTTCGTCCCCGTGGGACTGTATAAGGTGACCTGCCCGCCAAAAAGAAATTTTCACTGTTAAACGTCATCAAAATTTTCGCGTAGGGGAGTGCCCTACACGGAAAAAAAAACTCGTGCGTGGGACCCGAAGTTTACACTGGAAAAAAAACACATTGGATGTAGAGTCCAGACTCTTGAAAACATTGACAAGAAAAAATACTCTTGATTCAATCAGATTTAAGCTTGAATCAAAAGGAAATCCGCTCAAGTTAAGAGGCTTGGTTCTTGATTTAAGCAAAAATCCGATTGAATCAAGAGTATATTTTTTCTTATCGATGTTTTTAAGAGTCTGGACTCTAGATCCAATGTGTTTTTTTTCCAGTGTAGGTCATATGGATCTCTAAAGTTTTCAGATTGAGCATCTGAACACTTTAGGTCTAGCTGCCGAGGTTCGGATCACACATCTGAAACTTCGGTTCTTACATCTGAAGTAATTCAGATGTGAGAACCGAAGTTTTTCGGTCGTGAGAATCGAAGTTTTTCGGTCGTGAGAACCAAAGTTTTTCGGATGTGAAAACCGAAATACTTCAGAGGTAAGAACTGAAGTTTCAGATGTGTGATCCGAACCTCGACAGCTAGACCTAAAGTGTTCAGATGCTCAATCTGAAAACTTCAGAGATCCATATGACCTAAACTTCGGGTCCCGCACACGTAATGTATGTAATGTCTCCGTGTATGTAATAAACATATCAAAGTTTTTTGAAAATTTTTTAAGGGTTTCAATTCATAAAGATAAAAAAATTGAGAAACTAAGAATATAAAAGATAGTGAACTAAGATCAATTATTTTGTCCAAGGGTCTGAAAATTGAGCAACGAAAACTGAAAATTCGCCCGAGAAAGGGAACAAAAGAGAGAAGGAAGGAACGAAAGGAAGGAGAACGAAGGACTAATTATTTATGATAGAATTGTCTTAAACTGCTGTCAGATGTTTTGAAATTTTGAAAATCTTCTAGGAGGAGCCTTCTAAACCCCCGTTCGAAGTGTCTGGACCCGCCTATGAGCCTTATTCTTATAATTATATCATTGATGCCGTACCATAGAGTACTGTAAGAACATTTTGAGACAAAAATTGCTCCATAAGGTCAAACAAACGACGGTTTGAAGTAACGTAGCAACTAACGTAACAGCGTAACTAGCGAAACTACCAACGCAGTTTTCAGAAAAAGCTATGTGAAATTTTTTAATCAGCCACATTCAGGACCCGAAGTCTTTAGAGATTCCCAAGACACAGCCCCTACTTTGAACGGATAAAAATTAATTGAACAAGGACCATCTCAACTGCTGAGAGATAGAACTCTCCACCAGGTTGATAGTTCTTACGCTGCGCTGACGCGCGCAAACATCGAATTCATCTGGGTAATGTGTGTACACTAGCCATCTTATTGCAGGCGCTTTTAAAAGCTGTGTTGCAAGACTAGAGACGCTTCGCCACACTTCATCATCAGAATCAGTCTGCCTTAGGGCCCACCATGACTTCTTGGGGGAAAAAACTAAACATTGAGCACTTTTTTTATGGTCCAGTTATGCGATTAAATTGAGCTATCAAATTGAAGCTCTGATTGGTGGAAAAAGACCTGAGGTGAGGATGCGACCAATGAGAGGCCCAATTTGATGGCTCAGTTCAGTGGCGTAACGGGCGCCCCCGCAGACCCTGCTATGCAGGGGGGCCCAGGCGCCAAGGGGGCCCTCGGCCGCCGGAATTTTTTTTCTCTCTCTCTCTTTGATGCTTAACTTTGGTTTCAAACTTCAGGCCTTTACTTACCGAGATGGGGCTTCTTCCTTTGATTTTTATTGTTAGCTCGGGGTTTTTCATACTTCTTTCGGACTGTTCTGAACCTCTTGTTTGCTGGAAGGCCCTTGCCTTTCAATGTCCACCCAGTGATCACTAATTTTTTTTTCTTTTTTTGTCACTTTTCGTATCTCGGGCTTTGGGAGATCCAATAATCTAAAGGGCCCCCAAGGCTCTCCTTTGATCCTTGGGCCTGGGCTGGGCCCCCGCCACCCTTTAGATCCTTAATCCTTTAGGGGTCCCATATAATCGGGTACGGGATCTGGGACGGTGAGGGGTGAGGCATTCCAAGTCCAAGTCCGTGATTTGAGATGTCTCGGGCCAAAAAATGGGAAGGGGTGGGAGGGGGGATAATATTGGAATTTTATCGACATGGGGGGGGGGGGCCTAGAAAAAATTTTGCGGGGGGGCCCAGCGGAAGTTCGTTACGCCACTGGCTCAGTTTGATCGTGTAACTGGACCTTTACGCTTCGCTACGTTTGTTAAGAAAAATCACGTATCGTAATATTACTTTCATCCTTTGATTTTAACTCATTTCTAAAAGCAAATGTATTATTTTTTAGGTATGATGTTTAGTTCAGTTTAACACACGTGGATAGTATTTGATTTCAAAACTTACCAAATTTTCGAAAGTTTTAAGAGGCACTGCTGCTGTTTTCATTATTTACTGCTCAAATGCGAGAAAATTACTTTAAAAGTGATACAAGAGGATATTTTATATTCATTGACACTTGACTGGTTTGAATCCTTAAAAGCACTCAGACCGACAGTTTCGCAGAAATTTAAAAAAAGGAATAATGCACTTTGCTTTGACGGAGTGATGCATCTCTACAATCTGATTTATTTTCTAGCTAAACATTAAAAACTCCTATTTCAATCGAATTCAAGTTTGTAACACCCCTCGAACTTTTGAGAGATACCCATAAAACACTAACAATTAACGAAAACATAAGGTCTGAAATACGTTTTGGACCTACTTTTGGGAATTTCTCAAAGTTCACATTTTATTGTGAACAGAAAAGCAGCCTGCTTTTACGAGATGAAACTTAATAAAACGCTTACTACAACTGAAAATAAATTGACACCTCAAACTTAAAACTTTCATAGGATAGAACGTAATTGTTTTTATTCTCCCTGTACTATATTAATGTTTTATTCCCTCAAAAAGAATATCACAATACAATTTACACCAAGTTACATTTTCAAACTGTGTATACTGAACGTTTTCCAGCCGACGAAAAACTAACTAAACTTGGGGAAAATAAGCTTGACACGCTAAGAACAGCGTTTCGGTGAACTTGAATTGAGGTTAACGGAACAATCTTATCTATGCAGACAATATGCAGCCTTGAAACACCCGACTCGCCAGTTATTTGAAAGGGTTTATTTCAAAATTTTCCTCTTATCAAAATTTATGCAGAAAATTAATTCACTTAAGCTTTTCTCGGCGCATTGAAGACAGTGGCGTGGCGTGAATGATCGATTATCGATATCTCGCCATTTGAAGCTATGATAAAGAATCGATTACTAAGGTGTTCGCTGCAAACACCTTGATAATCGATATTTTTTCATAGGTTTGAGTGGCGTATCAATCGATACATCGCAAAGCACGCCATGCCACTGATTGAAGACTAAATGTATGAGTGCGTATATACAAGAAAAACTGAAATGAATTTTTCATACAGGAACTATCCGTGCATTATGATCCCTATTTCTGTAGATGGTCAAGCATAATTCTCCCTTCCTTCCTTCATCCCTTAAATTCTTTAGGTTAGAGCCGAAGACGGTCCTCTCAAGTTCGTAGCATTGTTTCTTCCATCTAAATGTACGCAAAACAATCTATTCTCGGTGAGACACCTACAATCGATATTTATGGTGGATTTATATTTAAGAAAACAAAGTTACCAGCTCGGGAGAATCATCACTGTCAGGGCAGAATTTTTCGGTTTCCTAGTCAAGGCGTAAACATCTATTAATTATTTTTTGTGTACGAAGAATCCTACAATTTCGTTTTAGTAACTATGTTCAGTGGCAACGTTAAATGATTAATCTGCATAAGTTGGACCGCGTCTAGCAGAAAGGGACCAAGCCACATCAGCTGTTGTCAAATTTAACTAGGCAGTTAAATTTTTTACAAGAGAACGTTCGTACGGATTCCTTTGAAAATTTCAAGAAATTTGCTTCGTGCTATGCACAAAATTCACTGAAATTTGCACAAAAATCCGCACAACCGTTTTCATGTAAAAAATCAAATTGCCAATTAAAGTTGGCGATAGTTGATGTGGCTTGGTTTCATTTCTGCTTAACGCGGTCCAGTTCATACATTATAACGTCATCATTAAGGTTCACAGTATATTAAACGTGGTACATTTAACAGCTGAACTGCAAGGTATTTTTAGGAGCAAATCTATTGGACATGCTTTCATAAGTATTTTCAACGTAAACTTTATTCAAGATTGATTGATTCTTTATAATTTATCGAAAAGATTTGTTATGTTTTGGCTGTCCGTATTGTCAGCCTCGCGTATTAAGACACTAGCAGTTACACCTGTTAATTTAAAAAGTATCTAATCCGTTTTTCAATCAATTGAAAATCAACAACACTTAAAATATTACGCTAAAATTATGGCGATCAATTTTGAAATAGAGGGAATGCAATAATTCCTATTCACCTGAGGCAGGTACCATGGCGGAAACAGGGAAAACATCCGGGCAGCAGCATGAAAACATTGACTGAAAACTTTGAGCGATTGAGAAAAACCGAGTTTTCATTATCGAATCCGGCATTGCACTAACTTTCTAAACAACTGAAGATGATATCATCGTCTCGGTTTTTTTTTTGTGACAAGAAACCGTCTGATACCTATTTTCAGCAGACACGCGCGAGTTGATACGGACCGGTGCAGTATTTCCGAACAATGAAAAATTTCCCTCTCCGTTGCCACTATCAAGAGAAATGAAAACATTTACAGAATTCCATTTTCCTCTCGATCTCCTCTTTTAAATTGAAGATATACGCACTCTGAGACAACGAGGTTCGGAACTCTCATTTGTGGTTTGCAAATTAAAGAGGAGGTATGAAAGCTTCGTCTTGATCCTCATTTACCAAATATGTTAAGCCAGGATTAAATTTTAATTATTAATATTCCTCTGGAAAATATTTCAAAAAAGATGCGCAAAACTTGCCTTCAAGAATTTAACTCATCAGTTTTTTAAATATCAACAAACAAAGAAAGCACTTCATAAACGCAACTTTAAAAGCGAGAATCAATAGAGTTATGATAGATTATTGGTTTTTATTACGTTTTTTGTACTTTAGGGACTATGTAACATCATGACGAGTTTTGTGTGAGTTTTGGGGCCGAGATGATACGTCTGTTTAAAATTATATCTATGCCATAGTGTAACATTTGAAAGGGAGCGGAAGCTCAAAAATACTCAAATTTCTTGCGCAAATTGTAAGGTTGGGATTGAATTTCTGACTTTTCTACTGCCCTAATAGTGATTTTTGGGTCATTTTCTGGCGAAAACTTCTACTCCTTTTTAACACGAAAAAAGTAGAGTCTTTCCTCACACAATGCTCATAGTCTCCTTGGTCCCACCATGACCACAGTTACGATGTTGCTTTTTTGCGTATTTCTGCCCCGGGAAAAATGCGGTATTGTAACCCGGACTGAAATCCTTGTTCCCACAAAAGTAACATTGTAGTTACGACTAGAAAAGTATCTAGGTGGAACTTGAAATTTGCTATAAATATTGTAAAAACAACGATTTTGCTCCCTCCATATCGCTCCAGAAAAGTTTGCAACAGACCCGTTGGATGATCGATCGTCGTTTTCTAGACGAGGGAACGTAACTCCATTTCAACGTTGAAAAATTGACTTCCTCACGATTCAATTATTTACAAAAACTTATACCAGTTCAAGTTTCGTCCAAAATTTGTCCAGTTTTTGCATGAGATCATAGGCAAAACTAGTGAGATTTTCAGTAAGAAATTCAAAAGATTCCCCAAGAAAAAATGCAATATGCTCGGGGAAATTTGACAACATTAAACTGTAGGTGCATTTTTTCGTGAGGAGAACTACGCACGGTGGATCGAGTCAATAGGAGAAGTCGGACATGATTCAGAAACCTTAAAAGCTAATAACTCCGTTTTTACAAAACTTTGAGGTTTTAAAAGTGGCTCCATTGTGGTTTGTCCGGGAAATTTTCTTCTCGAAGCACCCCTTTTTAAAATATGACGAAAATAATTTCAAAATTTGCAGTTTCAGTCAAAAATTTCATGTCTACCTCTCTAATTGACTCGATCCACCGTGCGACGTACTGAGTCTCGCTGTTCCGAGGGATCTCTTACCTGAGAATTGACCTCATCGAAGTTCTGGAGGTACCGCGAGTTATTGACACTGATGATATTGTGCTCCGGATTGCTGATCTTCATCGAGTAGATGGCCGAGGAGTTGTCGTTATGCTCGTTGCCGTGCATGTTGACGTTCTTCCCCTCCCCGGGATACCCGATATTGTGTATGGAATGATGATGGTGGTTATGGTTATGGTGGTGGTAGAAATGGGACGGCGACGACGTGTAGGTAACATTCTGATTCTCGTAATTCGTGTACTCCATACTATTGGTCGACTCTAACACGGCGTAGTTCGAGTTGTTGTCGCCCAGCTTGACCTGTCGCTCCATGAGGTGTTGCGTCTGTTGCTGCTCGTCCGTTTTCGAGGACGTGGTCGGTGTTGATGCCGCCGTCGTGTGGATGTTGATCCGCTCCGGGTTGGACCTGAGTGAAGAAATAACTTAATCAGCCAAAACACATAATAAAATGACAATTCAATTTGGGTAAAGGCTGCAAAAGGGGAACACATTCAGGCTCGGACTGGCCATGAGGTCAATCTGCCATTGGCAGATACGCCCCCTTTGCGCGCTGAAAACGCGCTCCTCTTACAGATAGCAAAATAAGATGAAAAAAAAAATTACGACCGAGAATATGTGAGAAAAATGTCTTAATTGAACGGAAGAAGAGAGAGTTAGGAGTAAAAAAAGGTGCCTTAACGCATGATAGTGTTGAACAGAGGTCCAACAACTACTTTCTGAAGCGTAAACAATTTTCTGTGAAATTTTCACCTTCTTCTTGACATACAGGCGCTTTATCATCCCTCTCCTTCATTCGCTATGTGTAACTCCCTTAGAAGCGATGGTCGGTTCGATTTTTAGACATAAGCATCCTTCATAGACCTCTTAAGAGACCTTTAAACATATTTCCTCCTTTCCAAATGACTATTGATTTTGACATACCATAGTATGGCTCAGGCAAACTTAACCTTAATTTATTTCGAAATTTAAAAATAAGAGACATCTAAAATGTAAACGCGATACAAGTATTGGCGCAAGATGGATGTCCACATTGCATATTAAAAATGTAAGACGCGATGCCGTGAGTCGTGAACTTGCAAAGCTCTGCTCTAGTTTGAAGCAACATTACAAATAAGACAAACGTAAACAAACACAATATGGAAATAAAGCGAGGGAAAGGATGCGCGTTAACAACGGCGCAGAGATACAACTATTCGTACTTGATGGACGTCGGTGCTGCATCTGAAAAATTGAAGGCGCGATGACGCGAACCGTGAGCTCTTAATGCTCTGCTTTGTGCTGTCAATGAAGCGTCGCTCTGATTCGGGAGAAAAGTTAAAAAAAGGCCTGAAGACATCTCTCCTACCTTCGGCTGTAATACTCACGTAGTGCTTGAAGCACCATTACGAATGAGACAAACGGAAACAAGCACAATATGGAAAAAGAGGGAGGGAAAGGATGCGTGTTTATGACGGCGCAGAGATACAACTATTCATACTTGATGGACGTCCGTGCTGCATCTGAAAAATTGAAGGCGCGATGACGCGATGCGTGAGCTCTCAATGCTGTGCTTCACGTTCAATTTTGCAATTTTTACTCCGTGCGATCAATAAACTTTGAACCTGAAAATAGCGTAAACTTGTGCTAATTTGCCAAAATTTTCTGAACCTCTCTCCACGTAGGGAATGCCCTACCAGGAAATATCACATTACGCCCCTTGAACAAGCCAAGGGTCTACGCCCTCAGATGCGAGCGAGTCCGACCCTGAACACATTAAAAGGAAACCGCGGAAAGTTTGGAAATAGTTACAATAGAGACTTGGCAGGTGTCTGAAATTTGATGAATTTCGTGTTTATTAAGTTTAAACTAACTCAGTGAACTGAACACGAGGATACCTTTGGTTCATGGACTGAACGATTATTGGGGGAGATATGACAAAATAATCAGATCTGCTAAAATACATGTGTTTAAATGGAAAATGCCACCAGATGATGCGACTAGGCGGTGCATTTTCTCACTTTTACATCTATTTGCATACTATTTCTCATATCAGAAAAAATTATAAAAAATACTGTGAAATCAGCTTTTCAAGGACTTTTAGGTGAAGCAATCAAAAAATTGCATGCAAATTCTCCATTCCATTATCAACCGAAAACAAAAATTAAATAAAATAATGAGTCGTCGATTCGATGTTATTGCGAGACCGAGACTGATTAAAAGGTAAACAAACTCGGCCCAGTGCAGCAAAATTAAAGCACATAGAGACAAGGATTACTAAGGTTGGAAATTTAATCACCAGCTCCGTCTGGACGGAAAAACTGGTGAAGAGGCACTGAGGCCATCAACGTTGGCGCGGTAATTCCAAAGTGTGTCTCTGCACTTCATGATGTTGACCATTTCAAGGAGAGGACACGGAAAATAACGTTTTTAGAGGCTGAAATTTAAGCCCCCTCAAAGTCAAACCGATGTATCTGTGCATCCTGGTGGTGTTGGGAGACAGTTTTCTCCCCTTTCGCGTATCGATGCTGAGAGAGTCTTTTTTAAGTACCTATGGGATGTCTGTCCTATGACTACGTACCCGACTTTACAGTCCTGACACTGTCACTGAAAAAAAGTTTGGGTAGCATTCACCATACTCTGGTTAAGAAACGGCACAACCAGAGAGTAAGGTAACTTCCTCCAAAATTATTGTCACAATAAGGAAAAATCTTGTTACTTTCACGATAATTTTGATAAAAGTTACCATACTCTCTGGTTGTACCGTTTATTAACCAGAATAGGTAAATACTAACTAATTTTTTAAAGCCTCGATCTTTCTTTTTTATTTTAAATTGGACATTAAAAAGCTAAGATCATGAGGATCACCTGAGGATGCTGGCCGCAGTCGAAAAGTCCGTCGTCGCGTGTATCTCCTCACCGTTGAGCGGCGAGTACAGGATCTGGTTCTTGAAGTCCGAGTACTGCTCGTGTTGATGACTGTGCTGTTGCGATGGTTGGTGACTGTGTTGCTGCTCGTGGAACTCTCCCTGCTCGGTCGGCCTGATTTTCGCCGTGGGGGTGAATTTGATGGGGTAGTTGGTGTACTGCTCCCCCGATTCACCCTCCATTTGGTGACTGGGCTCGCCGATGAACTTCTCTTCTTCCTGCGTCTCTGCCGTGGGTTCCTTATAGTTTTCCACGGTGTCTTCTTTCATCTCGCTGTTCCCCATATTTTCATCGTAGTCGTTGAACTTTGCGTCTCCGTCTGGATCCCCGTTGGGGCCTTTGCCGGTTGAGGATGCTTCGTCCTTTAGGTAGTAGGTTTGCTCGTCGTTTTTCGTCGTTTCCATCATCTCTCCTTTGCTTTCCTTCCCGTTTTCCACCATGTTTGAGTAGACCGAGAGGTTTTTCGCAGCTGTCTGATCGCTGTTTATGTCCTTCTCTGGAGGAATACCGAGCGGAGAGTCGCAGCTTTCCTCGTCGTTGTCTGGCTCGCATCTGTAAAATTAATATAGATGTAAAATTTAGATTGCCTCTTAAAGTGAACGCAATCTTGCTTATCATTTTTCTTGAATGGGGAGTACCTACATTCTGTTTAGGTGCACTTTCTGCAAGGACTGTTTGGAGTTGGGAATGCGGATGCCCTGCACACGACGTCTCGAACTTCTTCTAATGAGATTTCGTAACTAAGACTTATTTTTCTAATTTGGATAGCTTCAGGGTTGGTTCAAACAACTTTTAACGTTTTTTAGACTTTTTGTTCCTACCGTAGACCCTGAACGACAACTTAAATTCAAGGAAAATAAACTTAAAAATGTTCATCACCATTTTTTACCGTCAGAGCTCATTATGGACCTCATTATATACATGATAAATTGAAAGAACATCTTCGTCAAAAGTTGAGTTCCCCACAGATTCACCATTTTTTGTATATGGTATATACTAAAGAGAAAATTGATAGTTTTATCAAAAATAATAAATACATTTAAGTTTCAAAATATTAAAACCCAGGGAAGTTATATTAGACTCGGGATACAGATGTTCCTCTTGGGATATTATTTTTTTTAAAAAATTTGCATTATATCTACTCATTTCCTATCTCACCTTTCAATTAATTCATTTTCATCGCACTGATTGGTTGGAGATCCCTCTGCCGATGCACTGTAGGAGTCAATTTTGGATCCAGCCGTTTTGATCGTGATCAGACCTGACGTTGTGATGGTCCTGATTATTTGAGACGGGCTGGGCCTAATTACGCTTTGATTGCTTGGGCTCATTTTAGGTCTTGTCGGTGATTCCATTTCATGCAAACACCTACGACAAATGAAGTTGTTGGTTAACTGATGGGCGTTGGAAAACGTTCAAAATATATTCAGGTGCTCATGCTAAATCATCTCTTAAAGCAGAGCAGTAAGTTGGGTCCTCGGGTGGATCTCGTTTCCCCTTTCTGTTAATTAGGCGAAAATTTTTTCGGCTACTTAATCATTTCCTCATCCGATGACTTTTCAAGACAACCAAAGTTGCTGTTGTCTCGATGGGATTCTTTTTATGACAATCAGAATCCCATTCTTCACAAACTTGTGAAAAATACGTCAAAGAAACATATTTTCAGCGGAAATTCCCAGTCTACGTAGTTATTTTTTCCGGAAAGTTTCGGTATCAGTGAGTAGCTGGTAAATTCTTTTTCCATTTTGGAAAGATTAAACAGATATTGCAAAAAAAAAATTAAAAAAATCGTCCGTGAGAACTGGAAAAAAAAATTGTGTTGATTAGAAGTCAATAGTTTCGCAATAAGCACTAGACCGCGCCAAAAAAAAAAATACTACACGCCGGAATTTGCGTAAAGCACTTGACCGCGTCACAAAAATATCCCGCAAAAATTCGCGCAAGGCACTTGACCGCGCCAAAAAAAAAATTATCAGTAAATTCCTGGAGCTTTACGTGGCTTTGCAATGCTCCGCTCCAGTGGCGTGGCGTGAATTGCGATACATCGATTGATCTGCCATTTAAACCCACGGAAAAGGATCGATAAACAGGGTGTTCGCAGCGAACACCTTAATAATCGATTCTTTACCATAGGTTTAAATGGCATAATAATCGAAAAATCGCAAATCACGCCACGCCACTGCTCCGCTCCCGTTTTCTGTCACCCCATGATGAAATAATATATATCTAACAGCAACAAGTACTAAAAAAGCACCCATTTGCCTTCCATTCAATTTTGCATTTAATTCCGAAACAATTGCTTAGTATCTTTCTTTCATTCAAAAATTTCAACATTTTATTTCTCATGAAAAATTGCAACCCTGCCGGAGGTTCTTACTTGCTAGTAGCCGCCAAAAATTATGATATTCAGCATGATAAATGGACTTATTTCTGTCAAACGGAACCAAGCGCCAATTTGAGCTCCTTTTGAGGAATTTAGAATCCTGGATAGCGCGTTCTGTCAACTGGAACTGTGCGCTGGAACTAAGCGCCATGGAAAAGCATTGCGATTATAGGAACGAATGAGCCCGACGCCCAGTTCCGCCGCCAATCCAAGCATCCCTCTACCTTCCTTCCCCGATGGCGCTTAGTTCCGTTTGACATAAATACGTCCAAATATCGAAAGAACCAATGACCAAAACTTGAAATTTACATTGTTCGATCGGAAAATTTCTCGCCATCTTGGAAATGACTGTTTCGCCCTAATATTCACCTCAACTCTTTACTACTCCAAAAACCTGGTGGTAAGTTGAATGCAAAAGGCGCTTGCTATCAGCGCCTTGGAGAACCTAAACAAGAAGCTACGATGAGACAAAAAGTGAGTTCAGTTCAGGATGCGGGGGAGGTGGGTAAACGTGAACGCAGGCGTGCGACATACGACTTTTGCGGAGGGATACTGTAACGGTCCAGTAAAGCTAATAGACTCGAGTCACTTTCACAAACCGGTCCCGGGATGGATGTCAACAGAGAATTAGTGGAGCACGAGAGTAAAAGTGGCAGGAACATACAGTCGCATCGGAAGTGATCTGGAGTGCCCGAAATTGGGGCAAACCGACACAGGAAAGACTCGGTCGAGGCACACTACAAAGCGCGGGCGGACACGACCGGCCGGGACGCCGAGTCCACGGACCCAGGTTCGATTGACCAAGTTGACACAGTTGTCACTTTCGGTCCAAAATGCGTTATGATGAACTTCGACCGGTTCTCAAAGGCGCTGATAGCAGGCGCCTGCACTGCGTTCAACTTGCCACTTGGATTCTGGAATAGTAAAGAGTGGCAGTTATTTGGGCTAAACAGCACTGGAAAAAAAAACACATTGGATCTAGAGTCCAGACTCTTGAAAACATTGACAAGAAAAAATACTATTGATTCAATCAGATTTTTTCTTAAATCAAAAGGATATCCGCTCAAATTAAGAGGCTTGGTTCTTGATTTATGTAAAAATCCGATTGAATCAAGAGTATTTTTTCTTGTCGATGTTTTTAAGAGTCTAGACTCTTGATTCAATGTGTTTTTTTTTCCAGTGAGTCATTTCCAAGATAGCGAGATCCCGCTAAATCCGAATTCCCCGATCGAACAATGACTCTTGGTCATAGGGTTTTTTCTGGCGATTTATCATGCCAATTATCATAATTTTTGGCGGCTACTAGTGAGTGAGAACCTGGCAGGGTCACAATTTTTCATAAAAAATAAAATTTTGAAAATTCAGAAGAAAAGAAGGATATTGAGCAATTGTTTTGGAATTAAATGCAAAATTGAATGAGACGCAAATGTGTGTCTTTTAGTGTTTGTTGCATACCCAGCCCCTGAAAACATTTTTCAAATTCGTCACACTTTTCGCAACTTTTTGAAATTTCATGAAATATTTAACAGAAATTTCCGATCTTTCATATTTTTCATTTCACTTGTGCGACTCTGGACTCCTGGAGGTTTGAGCCTGCTCTCTTTAATTTTTCAAACTGACCCTGGAATAGGCCCTTTGAGGGCGCGGAGCATCCTCTGAGGACTGTGTCGCTTAGCAGTCAGGGGGCGTAACCCTTGATACACACATGCATATTAATGGACGAAATCTAATGTCCGAAACGTGTTGAGCGGCCACCGGTCATGCACGAGAAAAATTCGACCATTTGACAACACCGCGGTTGAGACAGACGAAGTTACAATTTGATAAAATCGAAAGGATACTGGTTGAAAGGAAACGCTAAAAAGAAGCGGAACCGATCAGTTGGCTCTTAGATCTTACGCTCTGAGGCGGCGGCGGCGGTGAGCCGTGCGCGTGCGGTGTCCGCGCGAAAAGAACAAACACAACCGCGCACTTCCTGTTAAACACGGAGAAGACGTCACAAAAATTGAGGTCACCTAAATACACTGCTACAACCGCATCGGCATCATCGGCTCAATATTGCCCCGATTTATTGACGAGGAGACTTCAAGACTCCAAGACTCTAGCAGTCCCGGGCATTAGTCATCCAAGTAAACGGCGTTGCCAATTTTGAGGCGAATGGCAACTCTACATTCTATTAAGCGTCATCGAGAGCGCTCTGCGGGCTGATTGTTGAAATTGGTAGACAAAGCGACAGACAAAAATGACAAACTGGATAAATACTGAGAAAAAGAAGAAAAAAAAATTCCGGCCGTTGAAATCGTATTTACGGGCTATATATGTAGACATACCGTCCGCGTTCCGGGCTCTGAGTCTGAAAGTTCCGGGCGTACCACCCGGAGCAATCTAAGCTATGGCTCCAGCACCCGGAAGTTCCAGCCTCTAAGCCCGGAACGGATGGTAGGTCTATATAGCCCGTACCTTTTTTTTCAGTGCAGGGGGATCTTATTGGTGGAAGCGGGTGGTTGCAATAGACAAAGGAGGTAGGCAATAGGCCAACTAAGGAAAACCCACGAGAGACCCTTCAGTTAGTCCATATCACTCTCTCCCATAGTCCACCCGTTTCAATCAAGTGGATCGCTACACAGTACTTATGTCTTCTTTGTAAATCGCTTTGTCTATCAATATCAACAATCAGCCCGCCGTCAAAACGTCACTCCTCTAACGTAAGGGTATATTTCCATTTCCTCGTGAGCCCTCTGTTACAGATCGACGGTGAAATTCCCAAACCACGTATCTCGTTTGTGGTGTTTAAACATTTCCGCTCCTGTTTTATTTTTTTAAAGGACAACAACACGCCTCGAAATTTTTTCAAAATTTGCCTTACACAGAGGAGAAAAATCACGGAGGTTTTAAATAGTGGACGTTGAGTAGTTCTCCATTTAAAAAATCGAGTAGGACAAGAGATCTGCAACGTCGCAAACCGAGATACGTGGTTTGGAGGTTTCACCATCGATATGGATCTACGCTTCATGGGGCCCATGCGGAATCGTTTGCGGCTATTTTTTTAGTGTAAAGTTGATGAACACTTGTCCAAATTGCAACAAAAGGTTTTAATTTTTGGAGATTCTCTCTAAATTGAGCATTTTAATTTTCGTCTCCTCTAACTTTACCATTATTTCGACGAGTTTACTTCGTAATTTTTCATGAACAGAATATTTGTGCGACGGCTAGTACATATGTATAATTCAACACAAAATGAGGTTTTCCCACATTTAGCTCGTCAAAACGGCACGGCTAAATGGATACAAATCAATGTGCTTCCAGGTCAAGAAACTGCCTACTCGTGAAATTTGAAGGCGTTTACTCAAGGGCGGTGACGGTATGCTTTTGTGTTTTAGTACTGATTTGCGGACAGGATGATATCATTGAAAGGTCAAATTTCACCACTTTTGATCAGTCCAAGGATTGTCGAAGAGCAGTGAAAGGACAGAAATTGACGTCATTACTGAGGGAAGAGCAGTGAGTCCACTTTGTCTTTGGACACCATCATAAAATGAACTTTGATCTCCAGTCAACTAATGAAACCCCACGGCAAAATACTGGAATAGAAAAGAGTATTGTCTTGGGCCGATCTTTTGCATTCTTTTTCAATATTATACACGGATTGAAAACTGATTTTCTTGTTAAATTCCCTAGTTTATGTTTATTATGAGTATATGAATCGAATTATTGCGGACTCTATTGACCCCGATCATGACAGCGCAACTCAACGAATCTGAGATCTGGCTGCGGAGAGCAGCGGGAAAAGTCTGTAAATGTCGCTTCTTAAGTTAATCGATTATCGATATTCCTCCATTTGAGGCTATTACAAAAGATCGACTATAAAGATGCTTGTTGCGATCTTCCTGTTAATCGAAACTTTTCCATAGGTTTAAATGACAGATCAATTGATAAATCGCAAATCCCGCCACGTCACTGGTCGTAACGTTTTCCGTCGGCGTCA